CAATAGCATGGATTTAACATTTTGATTTGGGTAATTTGCTGTCCCAAGTTATAAACTAGACTTTGCCAGTTAACAATTACAATTCAAATTACATTTAAAAAAATATATATAATAAATAAATAAAAATAACACATGATTAAAGATGTATGACCCTGCTGGGGGGGGGACAAAATATGAAACAAGCTTAAGCTGGTTGGCTGGTTGTTTATCTGGTCTTCCAGCCTGGTCATAGCTGGCTAGCAGGCTGGTTTTAGAGGGGTTTTGACCAGTTCTTTAGTTGGTTAGGCTGACCAAATGACCAACCTGGGGGATATTCCAAAAAGCAGGTTATGTGACATACCCGGGTATGTTTGAGGATAAGCAAGTGGCTTTCGGTTCTAAAATCAGAGGTTACTTTCAAGGTATGTAAGTAACCATAGTAACTTGTTCTCTGAAGATAACCTGCTCCGGAGCAGGTTATGTTCCAGGGTTAGTTCACTTCAGCGCACGTGTGATCTACTGACGAGCCTTCAGTGGGCATGACAGATAGCGCACAACATTATATAATATTACAATATGTAATATAGCCTATTATATATGGCGCGCTTTTTCTTAGCGTCCGTTTCCATAGCGACTCATCGATTCGTCACTCTGTTGAGAATGTCTTGAGTCTTAACCAGGAACATACTCGGAGTTGAATGAACTTACTCCCGGACGCGTTTTTGGAACCACATACCTTGAGTAAGCAAGGTTTGGGGTTAATCAACCGAAAGTTTAGGGTTTAGCTGACGGTAAGTTAACTGTGCTTTCTGGAATACACCCCAGCTAAAACCAGCTAAACACCAGCTTGACCAGGCTGGAAGACCTACTTCAACCTCAAACCAGCCAAAACCAGCTAACCAGCTTAGACTGGTTTTAGCTGCACATAATATAATCAGTTGTCATAAATTTCAATATAAGCATCGTTGACTGTTATACACTAACTCACTAAATTATCAATAAACTGTAAAAAAAAAAAATGTATAAATAAAAGTGTTCAATTAATCAAAAAGTTAGTTAACCAGCTTAAGTTAGCAACTGCTTACAATAGACGAGGCTGAAATCTGACAACAAAAAAGAGTATTTAGGCTGTACATAGGCTAATCGTGCTATCATTATTCCCTGCTCGCTGCATCGACTGACTCAGAAGCGTCAAACCAAAGTCTCCACAAAGCTTCATCCCAATCAGCAAATTTCCTTTGGCTCAGATCTGGCCCAAATCAACAGCTAAAGTGTGGCACCAGATTGTCTAAAAAACCCAAAGGTGCTCTTGCTTTTTCTACAGTGTCATGATGTTTTGTCTACTGGGGGATCCTGTAGTTTGCGTGCTAACGTGAGGGAATTAGTTTGAGCCATGTGTTAATTGACAGCATTTGAAACTAATGGGACAAACCTTGAAGTAAGTGTTTTTGGGCCAAAAACGTTTGAGCCTTTTAGTTTTCTTTAGGGAGAGTTTGAATACCTATGTAATAGTAATTAGCATATAGCTAATTCGACGTCATCCTCATTTCATTCTGACTGAGTTACAGATCACAGTGTTAATGCACTAAAAATGCTGCAAGTATAAGAGACGTGATTTAAATATATAAAAAAGACATATTGGTGAACAGAACAGCTAGAGTCAGTCCAATAAACTGATGCGGTGATTGCCGTGTGGTGTAGTCAAAACGAAAGCTAGCAAAGTGAGATTATGAAATGATTTTTGATAAGACAAGATAAGATTTGACATCTTTGATAAGATTTAACATACAAAACGTTTTGCCTCAGACATTGCACTCTCAGTCTCCCAGAAGCAGACATCAGCATATACACACTTGTGTGTATAGCTTTACACCATATAGTCAGCATAAAGCTCTCTGTTAACTTCTCATTCTCTCTCTCTCTCTATCTGCATTTTCATGTCTGGCTCATTATGGCCATTACAACAGTAATGAGCAGTAAAGGGCAGCAAAGGGCAGCGAGACATTCCAACACGTTCATATTTGCAAAACCGAACCTGACACGAAAGCCGCTGCGAGTGTTTTACACTAACAGTATTAGCCGTGCCTTTTATGTATAATCGTTTTTCATACACTGTAGTAATGGAAAGTTTCTGTTTTGTAGTTAAGTGTGCGTGTGTAAATGCGTTTTCATCTGCTCTTTACTATATGTGTATGTGTGGGTCTTTGGCGTCCCTGTGGTCTGGGGTCAGTTCCTCTTTTTAGGACTTCGCAGAGAAAGTTTCTTAGCATGCTAATGTGCCATCAGCACAAGCTGCATGCAAATGTACGAAACCACAACAGCATCTAAATACAAAAACAGCTCCTCTATATTCACTTTGTTAGAAAAAGAAACATGCGAATGAATCATTCAGTGTTGACTGATAACTGCTCTGTGTTCAATTTAGCATGATGCTAATTTCAAACAAACCTTTATTTGTGTGTTACTAATGTTTGTTTTCTACATTCACCTGCAGGATTGGAACTCTTAACCATGATTAAATGTTTTTGCCATCATGCGAGTAATGCATAATAAGAATTAGCCTCATTAGGTTAATGATGCATGTTTCTTTGAACTTAGCAAGCTTAGCATAACATGGGCAATCTATTAAAGATAGAGTACTATTAAACATATGTATTGTTCGTATTCTATATAATCTTTAAGTTAACAGTTCTTCTACAAAGTGAACGCTTTATAATCAAACAAAAGCCTTTAGGGCAGGTCCTTTCTTACAACCCATAAAAACTAATGGAGTGAAGACCATGGCTAGCTACAATGGAACGGTAAGCAATGACCCTGCAAACCCACAATGAACCACTGATCAAAGTCAGCTGAAAAAAAAAAAGAGATTTCCTGCATGTGTAACGACTGCTTTTGAACATTTTAATGTTCTTGAATTGTCTCTTATTGATTTTACAGGCCAGATTTTTGTTCTGACTTGTAATATTATAATAATATTATAATTTATTTCTTTTTATTTTTGCAATATTTTGGTTTTATTCTTGTTCCGTTTTTAGTTAGTATACATTTAACGTTCAATACCTTGTCAAGATCCAGATTGCAGTGTAAACTTACCCTTGAGATGCCAACTTAAGCCTAATCACACCATAGAAATGTGTAACCACTTTTTTGTAGACTTATTAGTTTCTTTTCTACATTTACTGTGTATTAGCAGCCACAGGCTGAGGGTATTTTCTGCTGTGGTACTTTTTACAGTACTCTACCCATAAGGCTATGCCTCTGTTAACCTTTTTTTTTCGCACTTAGCTCTTTTACTAGATGTCTTTAACACTAAAACTAAAGACACGTGATTGCTTTGTCTATTCAAACATAGATTTCATTGCTATATTCATCACTGGCTTGCGTTGTCTTTGACCTTTTTTTTTTGCTGCAACGAGAAATGTACAGTTTGCGTTTTAATTGAAGTTCACAAATATTATGTGATTTATTACATCACTCTTCTTCCAGATTAATCATGGATCAAATTTGTTATTGTAAAGTGCCGGATGTTCCAGGGTATTTTAAGCACTTGTGTCTTCAAAATGTCAACTGATTTTACTTTCAACATAACTTGGACAGAAAGATGAATTTCAATCTCCTAACTGCAAATACTCTCATTTGTGCCCTGACATGTTCAAAACAACATTTCTCATGTGACTAGCATGCTAACAGCAGTGTTGCTGGAATGTCAAATTCAAATTGGTAGCGTGAGGAGTTTTAGGCAGTGTAAAGTCCCTCACAACAAGTCTGTTTATTTCTAGGTTTCCTGTTGGTATGTGGCCAGCAGCATTATGGGTAAATCTAGAGGTGTCCTTGTGGCTAGCAAATGCCATGTGTCAGATATCACACATACACAGTGACATATAGACTCACTCACTCTCGCATTCACACACAAAGTCGTACGCAAACACGCACAAATGCTTCCACCGTTGCGTCTTCATATGATGTCAACAGAGATTAAACTAGTTTATTATTTTTAAAGAGGAAAAAAAAAAAACGCAACAAAATGCAAGTCTTTTTTTTACACTAGTGATTATTAAATTTGTACAACCATTCAGTCTGCATTACATAAAGAAATAATTCTACATCTTTGTTTCTTTCGTATTTTTGGTACTCTGAATTATACATACAAATAACAAATACAGGAACTTTTTTTCACAATGCATATAACCTGGGCCCAAAGAAGTCTTTCAAGTGTATTCGTGAGTGAGTGTGTGTGTGTGTGTGTGTGTGTGTGAACACAAACCAATTGCCCAAGACCTATAACACATCCAGAAGAGTAGCTGGAAGTCTGTGAGACAGACCTGACTACAAGTTTTAATGCATTACACACCATTTCCTTTCAACTTTTCTTCTCCCTACATCTCGTCTCTTACTTTTCTCGTCATTCAGATAGAAATCGTGGTCGCGTCGCCACGCCGTTCCATCTTCCAGGTTTGAGTCGTACCCTTCTTATCATTAGCTGCCCACGGGCATTTCCTGTCCTCGCCTTTTTTCATTTTGCGCTTTAAAAAGTCTTCATTAAATGTATTTCAGACAATTTTTTTTACAAATATATGCAGAGTTCATCTCCTGTTGTCATTCACAGCTCGATTCCTCATGTCTCACGGGGACGAAGAAGAGGAGATACGTAGAAGAAGTAAAGGAGCGGGTTCGGGAAATAGAGGAGGTTTGTTTAAAGACTCGTAATGTTTGTGCCTTGATGCCCACAGGAAAGATGGCATTTGTACACAAATGAAGGTTGACATCAGCGCGAGGCTTCACGATTGGAGGGGCGATGAAGAAAGTCATTGTCTTTTCTCTTTCATTCTCACTGTCTCTCCCTCATAATGTGGGGTTCGAGGGGTTTAAGCGGGGCATACCGGGGTCTTGGGGGGGGGGGGCTGTTGTAGCTCAGACGGAGCATGTGAGAGAGCTGGTTCAAGGTCGGAGGGTTGCGGTTGTGACAGGCTTCAAGGTTAACGGTGCTTTGAGACGTCCACCGATGGGAGATTGGGCGGTCGGAGGTAGAAGGGCGCTCTAGCCCATCGCCGTCACCATACTGGAAGGGTGGTGAGGAGCGAAGGTCAAGCTGGAGGAGGGGTGCATGGGGGTGGGCGTGGTCAACATGTGGCCCGAGTGTGAGAAGGGAGGGAACGAGGTCATGTGACGCGACAGGGCGGCCGGGCTGAAGGAACTGTTCTTTTCCATTAAGCTTTTGGAGAAATCCTCCATGCTGTCATGAGACTTTTTGCACTTCTTGGACTTGCTGGACATCTTCCTGTTCCGGGTCTGGATGCCCTCCTTCTTCATGGTGAGTGGTCGGTTGATCTACGAGGAGAGAGACGGCAGACGTTAATAATGGCCACGGTACCATCCCGCTTACATAAGACAGGAGCATAATGGAAAAATTCGGACATTATTTTTCATCTCATAACACATCCAGAGGAACACTTTATTGCTTTGAGATTGGTTCTTCATATTTCAGGAGACCTTAAACCAGTTATGTTTCTTTTGAATATTAACTTAATCTCAGACGTTTCTCCTAAAAATCCTTAGGAGAAATAAAAACAGGCACAAGGGAGACAATTCATAATGAGAGTTCATAATGAAATTTCTGACAATTTTGCAGACTTTAGTAGATCAGAGCACAGTTTTTCTAAGAAGAAACATCTGAGAAGCAGAAGACCTAAAGGGATTCATTTTACTCATGTTGTTCCAAAACTGTATGACTTTCATTCTTCAAACACACACAAAAAAAATGTTTAACACAGTGTTTTTTTTTTTATATCCATATAATGAAGGTGTGGTTTTGGACCCCATTGACTTTCACTGTATAGACATATGGTGTTGAAACATTCCTGAAAATATTTTCATTTGCGGTCCACAGAGGAAATAAAGTTGTACGGGTATGGCCTGAGTAAATAATGACAGAATTTTCATTTTTGGGTGATTTATCCCTTTAAGCAAAAGGCATATTCTTTCAATCTAATCTCTGGAATTGCTGTCTTGGAGAAACAATTGAGATATTAAACAGATCTCATATATGATATCTCCTCCTTACGGGCATATTGAAAGCTGACACCCTTTTAAGTCACAGTTTGTGGGATTAGGATTTGGTTGAACACTTCACACACTCATAGTAATACTTTGAATCCAAGCATGTGTAATAGAGCTACACTATATCGCAGATATATCGGTTTCTCTGTTTGAGCAAGCGTGTATGTATGTATGAGTGTGTGTGTGTCGGGTCATATCAGGACTAGCCTGGATTTAGCATCTGAGTTCCCTGACACCAGGCATGGACGGTGCCAGACTCTGGCCAGACTCTGAAGCGCAGTGGCACTGTCACTGTCACATCAGTCTGCCAAAGCCTGCCACTTTCACCCCATAATTGGACTATCTCTATCTCCCTCTCTGTCTTAAAACACTCTAGATGCTTTGTGCAAGAGCTATTAAGTGATACTAAAACCTATTCCTTTACAGGCTTAATGCGTTTGACCTTATTTTAAGACTTTAAGACTTAATAAACGGTGAAATTTCTACTTTTATTTTACCATTTTGATTTCTAAAAGATCAATAAACACTTCAAAATTGTGATTTTTTTTTGCAAACCTGTGCAAATTGTGTAAATACTGTCTTGTATAATTTAGCCATTCAGTTCACTTAGTTTCAGTATTTCTGAATTTGTAGCAATTTTCTAATTTGTTAACATCAAATTGGATTATATAAAAACATATCTGCAAAAACTGTTCTCTAGATATCTGCATTGGCGTCTGTTATCGGAAAACCCATATTGGCCAACCACTAGTGTAAATGTGAGCGAATGTGCCAGTGTGTGCGTCTGTGTGAAGTCACACCCCAAAGTAAAACTGTTCATTTAAAACATCTCCATTGGGCATCACAGAAAACACATGCTTATAGCCGTCGGCTACAAGAAACTCTCTTAAATGTTATTCAGTTATGCTTTTTGTGGGTTTGAAATGACCACATAAAGATTTTTTTTTAGAAAGAAAGAAACGGGTCAGACGTCTAACCCCAGACTGACAGACATACACAAATACAATCACAACTCAGTTCTTCTGACAAATCCCTCTCGGCTAAATGAGAGATGGGAGTGGTTGTGATAATGCAAACATAATAATACATGTTATGTGTTTCCCTGATAACCTAGGTCAGGTTTAGGGGATTTATTTTTTCTCGAGTTCTTACGAAACAGCCAAAACCAACATGGCAAAATGATTTAAAAGGGTGCGCTTGCGTGAGTAGTAGGGGAATGTAACAAGAGTATGGGGCCTCAAAGTGTGATGATACAGGATACCAGAGCTGATTAGGTAGAATGAAAATGTTCCCCGGCATATGTTTAACATAGAAATACCACCAACTGCAGTGTAATTCAATAGTACAACAGTACTAGCAGTTTAGCTCTAGCATAATAGCCATAAAAATAAATAATAATATGAGAAAGAAAAAGACGAATCTCTGTATGTAATTGACTCTAGCGGCTTGAGACCATTGGGGAACATTAAAACATTTCAGGTTCGCAGATTGGGTTAAGCTGTCCCTGGGGTGCGAAAATCACATTACCAACTACTATAATAGGGCCAATTGGACAGGACTCGGAAAACGCAACAAATCGGAACTTTTTTGATAAAAATTATATTATAATGGTCGCTTAACATAAATAATAACATAACATTTTTGAGTAGTCAATGCATGAACCTTGTTGTGAATGTTGAAAGAAAGAAAGAAAGAAAGAAAGAAAGAAAGAAAGAAAGAAAGAAAGAAAGACAGAAAGAAATAGAATGAAAGAAATGGCATGAAAGCTGCCATCATGCAAAGAGAAGATAGAGATAGAAAATATCTTACTAGATAAGTGTAAGACAGCTATGGAGCTTACATTATGTAATTTGTAATAGAGGCCGCAGGCATTGCAGACAGGATCGCCGTTCGCATTTCTCCGCCACAGTGTCGTCGTGCTCGTTTGACAGTTTGCGCACGAGGTCCCCGCTCGTCTGGCAGCGGACTGATGGACACACACATAGAGAAAGAATCACGATTATTACACTCATAATATAATAACTTAAGATGATGATTGTATTCCTACAGTGCTAATGGCCCCCCAACCCTCCTGTTTCCTGAAGCTGCAAATGGTTTTAAGCAATGCAGAAATATGTCAGAGGAAAAGAGATCTCCATAACACTGGTGCCTTAAACTCTAGGGTAAAAAATAGTGCCTTGCGCACATGCCCTCTCAAACCTAAATATTTACAGAGGACATGAAAGCACTGGTTTAAATAGTGCCCATTAAAGCTGATGACATTTTCCCGTTAAATGATGGAGAAACAGCGGGTCTGCATGTAATGGATCCATGTTTAAACATCAACCTTCAGTTAGATATTAGCAATCTTTATTCACATCAATATGCTGCACTAAAATACCTTGCTCTAAATTAACATGCATTGATTAAAAGCAGTTAGAATTATTAATTATAAGCAGTTACTGACATAATCAAATATAATATAAAACAAATATAAATAAGTTAAAAAAAAAGAGTAAGTAAAAAGTAAATATAAAAATAAGTAAAAAGGATAATGGAAACAAGGGACGACTCAAAAGAAATGCAATGAATTTGTAGGGATCGGCAACATATTTTGAAATGGACTATGCAGAAAGAAAAGTGATGCTGTGTTCTGGGTTAACATACAGGAATGTTGAAGGTATGTACTGACATGACAAATTATTCTTAACTGTGTCGTTTAATTCAGATTAAAGCCAAACGATACTCAGTTAGCGACGTTACTTATTATGACTGACTGTTTGTTTTTCTTTTTTTTCTATCGGACTCGTTTGTAAATTACAAAATACAGCTCAATTGTATTGGTAAATAGATTAAATTCAAACACATTAGTCAAAGAGAACAATATTTGTTCTATAAAGGTCATTCCTTATTCCTGTTTTATTCTTCTACGTACTATTATTTTCTCTTTTTTCTAGACTATTTGAGCATAGTGAAGATCAATCTGAAGTCGTGACTCCTTTCTGCGCGTTCTCGCCCGTATGTTTAGACTGCGCTGTTGTTCGAGGAGTTTTATCAGCAGAGCTCAGATATCCGCCAGTCTTTTCCTGGGAAGTCGGCTTTTCACATTAGAGAGGGAGAGAAGGCCAATGCCAAAATAGCAGCGCTCGGACTATTTCACTGCGCCTCAAGAGCCTCGACTCTATCCAAAGCCCAAAGAGAGACGCGTCTGTGCTGCCAGGCCATTGAAAAACACAGAGTCTCTCTCTCTCTCTCATTTATTAAATCCCTGTGAAACAGTGTCCCTGATGAATGGCATGTTGTCAGAACTGAACCTAATTTCTCCAGACATATTTGACCTGTTGGAGCTGATCGCCTCCCACGCGTACTCATTTGAGATAAGCGCTCGTTTCATAACACTTTGAAGTCTCTCCGTGGCAAATTTCATTATGCTGACACAGTGTCAGCAATATTTGCGATCAAATAAAATTGTCTGTGGATTTGTTTCGAGCAGAAAAATAGAGGGGGGGGGGGGAAATAAAATTCGATACATAAAATGGCATTATTATTATTATTGATGATAATAATAATAATAATCATAATAATCATAATAATAATAACTGCTATTGCTTAATCTTAAAGAAATGAGACCTGCGCTTGGCGAGTCAATTTCTTGCAGCTAACACTTCTTCCTGGGTAGAAAAAGAGAAAGAGACAGAAGTGTCATTAATACAGTGCAATAGAGCAACATACCAGCCTCCGCTTGGGCTTGATGAGGGGTCGGTTCTGTCCGTTCATCTTGTGGTACAGTCCGCAGGCGTTACACAAATAGTGACCGGTGCCATCCCTCCGCCACAGAGGAGTCGAGGTGGCCCCGCAGTTAACACATTCTCTACCTTCTGCGAACACAGACACACACACGCATGCACAACTGATTTTTTAGAACCACTAAAACACACTTGCATGCACACTTAAGCACAACTACACAGTCATAGGCCACGCCACTAGTGAACATACTAAACCCCAGTGGCCAGTCGCTTTGATTTATTTAAAAAAATACTAATAATTACATATCAATATTATACATATAATATAAACAATATATTTACTAATAATTACATTAATATTATAGACATATTGCACACATAAAAATTACAAATAATTAATTATGCATAAAAACACGAAAAGGCAATATCAAACATTCACACAGGCTAAAGATTCGCATGAATATGGAAATGCTTTAATAACATCATTGTTACTACTACTACTATTTTTAATGCATTACCACATAAAACGCATTCTCTAATATGACATAACATGAGCTTAACTCCTCAATCGTCAAATATGACATAATCTGATAAGATCTACAAATAACTTGGCGGTTCTGAGTAGGCAATGCTGTGAAAATGTACACAGAGATGGGTCTTATCAAACGTCTTATCAATACTGCAGGCTCTAAACAGCGATGTCTTGAAAATACTGCATGATTTATTAGAAGAGGGAATCGCAAATATAATAGCTATAGCTGGATAAAGCGACATGACTCGATTTCCAAAGAAACAACCTCCCGGTTCATTAAACCATGAGAATAAGAATAATTATTTGTGAAATGTTAAAGTAGATTTTAGGATCTGAGGCTGAAATGTTGTTAAACAGATTCAGTAACAGTAAGTGAAAGCGTCGGTCTAATTAACTCATTGTGTAACCCGCTCTCTTTACGTAATTAAAACACCGCAACGTTTGACTGGCATTCTTTCCGTTTGACTGACATGTTCAGTGACCCACGCCTCCGGTCGCTCCGCTGAAACGAAAAACAAGCTCGCCGTGCAGCCCCCCTGTACCCGGCAGAATTTCTGCCCTCATGTGTAGAGCCAACGAGTCTCTTTGTGCCTCTGCTTACTAGCCCCAAAAACCACAGAGCTGGCGAGTACACCTCAGATAGTGACACACACAAGTGCGTAAAGGAGGGTTCTGCTGCATCTATAGAAATCACGCAGCATACCATTTTGGTTCAAAATAAAACCTAAAAAGAACGATAATAGAACGTTCTGTGTGTGCTTAGATACAGTCTATGCGTATTGTGCAAAATATTTATTGCACATAAAACAGAAAACGAATTAAATAGCAATGATATGTATCTAAACGTTATTAATAATAATAATAAATTAGTAACACGCAAGTTAAAACGATTATAAACGAGAACAGAATAGATATTGTTTTCTCATTATCATAAAAATCAATCGCAAGGAATGGACCACAATAAAAAAAAAATGGTCCGTTCGCTAATCGCATTTGAAAAGCTGGTTGACCTTTTGAAATCATTTTCTCTGTGTGTTTGGATAACACTCTGTCTGTGCATGTCGGCCGTGCATCGCGCCAGCTCATTCGTTATTCCGAGCGATCCGCGGCTCATCCGGACTCTATCAAAGTTTCTGCGCAAAGTAAACAATGCAACTGTCGCGTGCAGCAGTCTGAAAATAATTGGATTAGCTTAAACACATAAACGCGAGAGAGACGGGGCCGTGCGCTGCGAGGCACAAGAGGCACAAGAGATGAGAGAGAAAACACACGCACACACACACACACACACACATCTACATCCGGAAAACCCAAGCGCTCCGCTTTAAACGTGTAGACTCATCTGCATATGCTGAGCGACGTTTAATAAATCAGGGAAGCTAATTCCGCTTTGTAACTCGACGACATTAGATATAATATTCTTCAAAGCGGAATATAATAACGGAATAGTGCAAGGCAGGCGTGTTAACAAATCTCTCATTTCTGTAAAAGAAAAAGACTACTGCGGATTGATCGTTTAAACTGATACCACAACAAAAAACCGAGATAATTGCATCATAAATTAATCAAGCGAACAGGATTATACAATAGCTCAAATTAATTATATTAATTCAAAAAAATGTTTCACATATGCATATATATATATATATATATATATATATATATATATATGTGTG